ATCTTTGTGCAGGGTCCCGTGAATTTGAGATTAATTTGACGAAATTAGGATCACTTAAGCATAAAAAATAATAATTTAATTAAAGTAAAATAGTAAATGCATTTGCAATTATTGCACATCAGATAATTATTAAAGTTTAATATAGTCATATATATTACATTCCTTTTTTTCATTTATTTTATTGGAGTACTACTAACATAGTATCTGTTCATAATTACTTTCTCAATCTACTGAAACACAAAGAGCCAATAGTCCACCTCCCTTGAAGCTCGAATCCAGAACTTCCCACATAGAGGAGCAACTAGATGTCATATATATTTCATTCCCTTTTCATTATAACTCATTAATTTAATTTCACTTATGTTTTGTACTCCGTATTAAACTTTTTTTAAAAAAATTAATTATAATAAGATATTTTTTTCTCTGTTTAACTTGGTGTGAGATTAATTAATTCATAGGTAACCTATAATACCTGATAGTACTAATCCCACGTGTTAAGCGGTCAAGGTACTTAATACGATCAAGTCAAAGCAAATAAAGTCTTTTATTGATCAAGAAGGACCTAACACAATCTAAGTGATTATCTCGAGGGCCGACTGACTGCGGTCGGGCAGCTCTGTAGATAATCTATCGATCGTTCCAAAAGTCCCCCACACTATAGCCGTCGCGGGTACTTATAGCCGCTAGGCCGGAGACGTCTCCGGCCGGCCAGCATGTAACCCACATAGCATCCACGCGTCACCATCCCACGAGCCCTCTCTGTCAACGTGTAATATTGCCACGTGCCTCTTCTCGAGATCCTTAACAAGTGTAGCTAGTCGGGTGGCGAAGGCAATCGGTCGGGAAGTCCACCGGTCGGGTCCGACCGTCTTCTATAAGAATATCCAACCTGTCAAACCTGCACAAAGAACAAGAGAAACCGAGGCATGTCGGTCGGGATATATCTTACCAAAAGCCCCCCAGCCCAGGCCTTTTTGACCGCTCGGGAAAAAACGGGACGAGATGAAAAGGTCCAATCACTCGACCTGCAATCCCGACCGGACAGCTGTCACTTGTCGTGCCACGTATCCGCTTCTGCGCGCCTCAGAGTCTGTAACGGTCAAATCGCGCAAGTGGGGCATTTCCGGCCCAAATATTTTCCTATAAATAGGCCCTTCTGAGGTTCATTTGAACTTTTACCAACTCGTGAAAGGCAATCGGAGCATCCCGAGCGAATTGCACTGTGCGTCGATCGAGCAAACATCTTTCAACCACTTCAATCAATCAGCAGTCGATAGGTAAGCTTTCGTTTTCCTATTATTTTCTTTTATCTTTTACTTTACTCGCACAACGGCTAACTTCGGCAGCCAACTAACCTCGACCGAACCATAATCGACCCCTCCTGCTGAAAACGCGACCGTCTCCTTTAGGAAATGTCAAGTTCAGATAGTCAAAATATCTCGGGAGCGGATTACGACGATGCGGTCGAGGAACTTAGCGCGGAAATAGAAATAGAGGCCTCCTCGCCTGAAGCTATCGAGGTCGTTCAACGACCACACAGAGTTCCCAGGCGCCACCACTCTTCCAGCTCAGAGAGCTCATCAAGGTCGAGTCGTTCAGATAGCTCGAGCAGCGAAAGTGACAGTAGCAACGGCACCTCAACAAGTGGCCGAGGAAATCCGGACGAGGACGTTCGGGAAACGCCCACACGGACAATAGGAGCTGACCTCGAGGCTTCTACCGCAACCAACGATCGGGAAACCACACCAGACCCGATCGAAGAAGAGCCGATCGCACCGGCCGTCGGACCGGAGCTAATCTTCCTTAACAGCGAAAGCGTCGAGTAGCAAGAATACCTGCTGACGACCGGCGAAGCAGCAAGGATTGCTGAAAGGCTGAACGGTCGGGTTCGATTCGACACCCGACGATCCTTAGGAAACATAAAGGAACGCCACCAAGGAAAGTGGATCGGGATGCACTATGATTCCCTACTAACCCCGATCACTTTCCCTTTCTCCGGCCTCTTAACCGCGTTCTTGGGCTATTACCGGGTATTACCCACCCAGATATGCCCGAACGCCCACCGAATCCTAGCATGCTTTCCCTAGATATGCGCTCGGCATGAGGTCGCATGCTCGATAGAGTTCTTCAACTTCATCTACCAGGTCAAGCCCTTGGCGGCGAAGTATGGGGGCGGCTTCTTGATGATTCAGTCCCGAGCTGACCTATGTACAATTGACAATCTGCCCGGGAACAACCGCGGGTGGAAGAACCGCATATTCTCGGTCGAATACGACCCTTGGATTCTCCCGGTCAACCGGACGTGGGGAACGCATTATCCGAGGCAAGTCCAGCCGATCGAGACCCAAGCCCTCCTAGATGCAGTCTTTCGGATCTCCAGTGAGATCAATGAATACAAGATATTCCGATCGAGGGAGAGCTATGACGCTGCCCGACTGCCGCCACCTCAATACGACCTAGAGGAGAAGTACAAACCCCGACCAACGGGCGTATCGATAGCAGTAGCGGCTTCTCGGGCTAAACCGACCAAGAAAGGTCTAACACCAATCTAACCTTCCCGACCAGAATTTTTCCCGATTAAAACTTTGATTTATTATTTTAACCGTATGATTTTATTTGCAGAGATGGGTCCTCCACGCAGCTTCCAGTCGGGTAGCGCACCCCGAGCCCCCCAAGCCAAAATAACGCTTGGGAAGAAGAAGAACGATGCCGGATCATCCGGCAATAAAGAAACCGAGGGCGACCCTATCCCGACCGCTCGCCCACTAGGCGCTTCCACAATAACCACGGCTGAAGGGGCCGTGGTCGAGGACATAACGACTGATGTCCTGGCTCCTCGGGCCGTCAGTCATAAGGGAAAGGAGACGGCGACCGTGGCGAACACGGAAGAGGGGGGCGCACTCGAGCGCCAACGGAAACAAAACAACCCCCCGAGCGGAGCTGTCACGGGCAGCGACTCTATCCTCACCCGAATCGACAATCTTAGACCGGTCAGGGAGGACCTCAGCAAGCTCACGCCCGGACAGGTGGCCGAGAAAAGCGGCCATGACTTAGTAGAGGTATAATTTCATTATTTCTTTAATTTCATAACTATAGTCGCTCGAGCTAACGTGCTTCCTCTTGCAGCTATCTCGAGCGATCCAACATCTTCAGCGCCAGGCGCTGTTAGCCAATGAGACCGACGCTCTGAAGAAGATCGCCGATCGACGAGGGAAAGAAATCACCGATCTTCGGGACAAGCTAAAGTCGACCGAAAAGGCCTTGGCTATTGCCGAGAAATCTACTGGGGCGTCCCTAAAAGAGGCGCCCGACCTCAAGTCCCGACTGGGGAACCTTGAGGGCCTTGCAAAGTTCCTTTGCCGGGATGAAGCATCGGGTGAAAAGTTCTTCAAAGAACTAATGAAGACAAAGGTCGGGGAGGACATGATCTGGATGTTCGGGCATTGGGCCTTCAAGTCCGGCCAACGGACTATACGAGAGGAAACCCGATCCATTATGGAAGAGGTTTTCGAGGGTGATGATCTGAAGTCCGTGCTGTCGACCCTTCCGGACGAGGTTGCCGACCCCGGCCTAGCGCCCTTCACCGAGCCATCTGTTGAGGATGCGGCCGAGCCCAGTAGCGCTGCGAAGAACGTAGACACGGTCGTGTAGTTGCCGACCATGTAATAGTTTATTTTTTTCTTTTTTGAAGTGCACTCCTTCGGGAGCCCGGTCCCGTTTTGTACCGGGCACGTTTATTATTAAATAAAATTAACTTTTTGTCAAACTCTGTCTTGTTCGACTTTCACGATTTTAACTAATCACTTCTTGGTCGTTCTTTGCCCGACCTAGTGGCCCACCGGTCTTCTTCTGACCTGGCCTTTTTGACCGGGCATTTGCCCGACCGCTCGGCCTGGCCCTTTCCCCTAGCCCCCACACTCGCCGTGCTCATGAGGCACGAGTGAGTGCAACAGTGGAAAGAAGTAATGCTGATCGGGTATGTATCTTGAAGCTCTGATTTCCCCGATCGATGGCGTGACCCGAATGTCCGCCGAAGATGAGCGTAGTAAGCCGAGCGTTATTAATTGTCCGGCTGAAATGTAGGCGACTTTTTAAAGCCAATTTAGGTTTGTACCCCTATCGGTCGGGACCGAGGGAGAGGTGTGTACCTTTGTCAGTTATAACTGAACTCAAATCCCGGTAGATTCGGGCAAGTTTAAGCGACATTGTGGTCGTGGGGCTTACACCCCTCTTCGATTGTTGATGCTGAATCTCGGTCTGGCGTAGCACGAGCAAGATCAACTTTTGAAGTAGATTTAACCAAAACTACTTAACATTTAACTGATGCGAAAACCGATCGGACCACCGTGTACAAACGGTCGAGCAATCACCGATCGATATTACATTATTAATTCCTGTACGTAGACGGTCAAATATTTACAAACCTAACAAAGACAATTAACGATGGACGTGCCCACTCGCAGGTTGAGCCCCCACTCCATCTACAATTATGTAATTACATTAATGTCTAAACAGTACAAGGTTTTCCGAGTTCCAAGTGCCCTCGATTACTCTCCCGGTCGTTGTCTCCAACCGGTAAGTGCCCGGGCGAACAACGGCCGCAACAACATAGGGGCCTTCCCAATTTTGAGCTAATTTGCCGCCTTCTAACGGTTGGCTTGCCTCTCGACGTCGTAGTACATAGTCTCCAACTTGAAAATAGCGGGGATTGACCCAGACTTCCTTTGTGTTTTTGACTCTCTTCTGGTACTCGGCCATACGCCGAGCTGCAATCTCTCTTTTTTCTTCAACACCATCTAGATCCACGGCCATAGAGTGTTCATTTTCTTCCGCATTATAAGATCGCTCCCTGGCGGTCGGGATCCATGCTTCGATCGGTAATCGTGCTTCAGCTCCATAAACTAAAGCAAACAGTGTTTCCAACGTGGCCTCTCTCGGGGTCGTACGATATGTCCAAAGCACGTACGGGAGCTCATCCGCCCAGCTACGACCGGCAGAGTGCAACTTCTTCTTTAAGCCCTCCAGGATAGTGTGGTTGGCGTTTTCGACTTGTCCATTGCCTTGCGGGTAAGCCACCGACGATCGAACTGAGGTTGTCCCGTTCGTTGCCAAGAAATTGTGGAAATACTGGCTTACGAACTGCCGGTCGTTGTCACTGATCAGATGAATGGGCACACCGAACCGGGAGATAACATCCCTGGCGCACTGCTGAGAAGTGATCGTGGCTAAGGGTTCAGCCTTGATCCACTTGGAGAAATAATCGATAGCCACGATGACGAAACGTCTCCGACCGGTTAACTGTGGGAAAGGTCCCAAAATGTCCACCCCCCAACGAGTAAAATGAATTGCGGTCGTGACCGGCTGATAGAACGTAGCCGGTCGTCCAGGCATCCGAGTATATAACTGGCATGTCTCGCACCCTCTTGCTAGCTTTTCGCAATCAAGCTGAATAGATGGCCAATAGTATCCGATCACCATAATACGTCGAGCGAGTGACCGACCTCCTTGATGCGCCAAGCAAATGCCCGAGTGCAATTCCTTCATCACAAGGTCCGCTTCGAATGAAGTCAAACAACGCATCAATGGACCTCCATACGACCGTCTATACAAACGACCTTCTTGAGCTTGAAACCTTGGTGCTCTTAACTTGGCCTTCCGGGCGCGTTGAGGGTTGTCTGGTAACCGACCGTGCTGGATATATTCCATTAAATCCGAAATCCAAGTTTCCTCGGCCGGCTAGATAGGTGCAACTGGCAATCGGTGTATGCTATGCCTCAGGATCATCAGGATCCGAGCTATCATGGACATGTGTTCAGGGGCATCTTGTGCCAGCTTAGATAAGATGTCGGCATTGGCGTTGTCCAGTCGGGGAACATGATGAACGCTGTACCCCCGAAACAAAGTTAGCTTCTCCATGGCGAGATCTCGGTAAGCTTGCAACCGCTCTCCGTTGACTTCGTAGTCGCCCAAGACCTGTCCGACCACAAGTGCAGAGTCAGTGTGAGCCCGAATGTATTCAGCCCCTAAGTCTCGAGCACACTGTAGGCCATTGACAAAGGCCTCATACTCGGCTTCATTGTTGGTTGGGTGGAACTGATACATCAATGCATAGTAGACTTTGAAACCCTTCGGGCTTGTAATTACGACTCCCCCACCTGATCCTTTCTTGCTGCTCAATCCATCGGTGGCCAACAACCACCATGCCGCCTCAGGATCCTTGACCGCCGGGGGTCGTGTCTCTCGAGTGGTACACTCGACCAAAAAATCTGCCAAAGCTTGACCCTTTATAGCTGGTCTCGGTCGGTACTCAATTGCATACTGAGTCAGCATCAGCGCCCACTTGACTATGCGTCCAAAAGAAGAAGCGGTGCGGAGAACTGCCCCGATCGGCTGATCGGTTAACACATGAATGACTCGACCTTGAAGGTAGGGGGCCAACTTCTTTGCCGCTATGTACAAAGCATAGACTATCTTCTCTAGCCGGGAGTAACAGAGCTCGGGACCATGGAGCGCATGGCTCACATAGTAAACCGGTCGTTGCACTCCCTCCGAACCGCACTTACAGCTCGATCGGAAACGGCGAGATAGACATCCAGTTCTTCCCCGAGCTCGGGTTTTGACAACACGATCGGTGATATTAGATATTCTTTGAGCTCGTCAAAAGCCACTCGGCACTCGTCATCCCACACGAACCCATTAACTTTGCGCTATACCTTGAAGAATGGTAAGGTGCGCTCGGCCAATTTTGAAAGGAAACGGCTCAAGGCAGCCAACCTGCTGGTCAACTGTTGCACCTCCCAAACGGTCGTGGGTGGTTGCATATCAAGAATAGCTTTGACCTTGGCGGGATTGGGCTCTATTCCTCTCTTTGTCATCATGTAGCCGAGGAACTTTCCTGTTTGCACCGTAAACGTGCACTTGTTGGGATTCAATCGCAGCTGGTATTTCCTCATGATTTGAAAACATTGTCGGAGATCCTGAGTGTGGTCAGCTCGGTTCTGACTCTTCACCAGCATGTCGTCAATGTAGGCTTCCATTATTCGGCCTAGCAGGTCTTCAAAGAGCATATTGATCATCCTTTGATATGTCGCTCCTGCATTTCGGAGGCCGAACGGCATGACCCGATAGTAATACAACCCATCGGGTGTGACAAAAGCCGTCTTACTTTCATCTTCGTGGTTCATCATGATTTGATGATACCCTTTAAATGCGTCCATAAAACTCATCAGCTCGGCCCCGGCCGTCTCATCGACCATCTGATGGATGCTCGGCAACGGGTACGGATCTAATGGACACACCTTGTTCAGGTCGGCGAAATCTATGCACATTCTCCAGGATGGAGGCTTTGGCACGAGTACAATGTTGGCCATCCATTCAGGATAAGTGACCGGGTGGATATGTACGATGACCTCCATCTTTTTCACCTCCTCTCGAACAAACTCTCGGCGATCGGATGATAGATGCCGAGTCTTCTGCACGACTGGTCTCGCTGCGGGATCTACAGCTAGTTTGTGGCAAATTACAGTGCGGTCGATCCCGGGCATGTCTTCAGGCCCCCACGCAAATACATCAGCGAATTCCCGAAGGATCGCTAGCACTTCCACTCGTAGCTTGGGGGTAAGGGCCCGACCAATCTTGATCTTCCTCTCCGGTCGTTCCTCAGATAAATAAACCTCTTCAATCTCTTCGGAGGGCTCGGGTTGTTCCTTCCGATCTCCGACGGTTTCCTTGATAATGGTATTTACCCGGGAAGAACTGGCATCACGTCGATTGACTGCCCGAGTATAACATTTTCTAACCGATTGGACATCGCCTCGCACAACTCCGACCCCGGCAGGGGTGGGGAACTTCATGCAAAAGTGAGGCATCGATATGATTCCGCCGACCCTCATAATGGCCGGTCGACCTAAGATGACGTTGTGGACACAGTGAAGGTTGACCACAACGAATTCCAACTCCGTTTTCACTGACTTTGGTGGGGTGCCAATCTCAACCGGGAGCTTGATCTTGCCTTCGGGGCGAATGGTGGCCCCGGTAAATCCTGACAATGGCACGTCGACCGGAATCAGCTCTTGCTTGTCCAATTTTAACTTCTCAAACACGTCCAAATAAAGGACGTTCACACTGCTCCTAGTGTCCACCATTACTCTCTGAACATTAGTTCCCATAATGTCAATCGTGATAACCAGGGCTTCCATTCCATGATCGCCGCTTTCCGGTTGGTCTTTCAGAGTGAAGGTGATGGGCTCCATCTTTTGCCTCTTACCGGTTTCCCGGGAGTCGACGATCGCGACCGGGCAACTTTCCCGAGGTCGGGAAGCATCTTCCAAACCTACGAATATGATGTGGATGGTCGGTTTCGACGCCGGTCGGCTACTAGATGGAAGATCGGGATCCCGTCGATCTTGATCTCTACGATCGGAGCGATGATGAGATCGCCTTTGATCTTTTCTCTCGCCCACTCTTTTGTTCTCTTCTCTTTTCCCCACACATTTGTCCAGCTTTCCCAAGTTCAGCAAATCTTCCAACAGCTGTTTTAAATGTGTGCACTCCTCCGTGTTATGTCCTGCACATCGATGGTAGGCACAATGTTTTGTCTTATCCGGCCCATCTGGTCCCGGTTGAGGTAAACGGATAAGGTTGCAGGACTGGGCGTATTGCATAGCTTTCGCCGCTGATCGGTTCAACGTCTTGAACTCTCCTGGTCGGGTACGGGGTCAGGAATGATCTTCTGACGGATGATCCGCCCGACCGGAAGGCTTCCGGGATGATGTCCCGACCTCTTGACGACATTTGCCTCACCAGCATTGGCATAGTCCGTCACTCTACGGAGGGCTTCCTCATAAGTGGTTGGAGGGTGGAGTATAAAATCTTGATAAAGATAACCAGCCCGGAGGGAAATATGCAACATGTGGATAGCCGTCAAATCGTCCATCGGCTCAACCTCCCCGACCGCCGCCTTCCACTTGACTAGAAATTCCGTCAAGCTTTCCCCCTCTAACTGCTTGGCCTTCTCAAGGTACATGTAGGGCTTCCGAATAACTTTGGAAGTGACAAACTTCCGCATGAACTTGGCCGCCAAATTGGCAAAATCAGAAATAGAGCCCGGTTGTAGCGTTCTAAACCATTCCGCCGCTCGACCAGTGAGCGTGGAGTAGAAAGCCTTACACATCACGGCGTCAGACACGCCCATCATCATCATATTGCCGTAGTAGGTGTTGACATGAACTTCTGGGTCTATCCGCCCATCATATTCCTTGTTGCCGGGGATGCGCAAATCGAGCGGGTAAGGCTGGGCCATAATCTCTGCCGTGAAGGGTGTCCTCAAGAGAGAGGCTGAATGATCGGTGGGAGGCCTCACAGTGTGCTCGGTCTGCCAGCGAGTGAATTCTGCCCGGAGTTCGTTGATCAATCCTCGGGTCTCGTCTTGTATGGCCGGTTGGGTTGGTTCCCGAGCCCGTCGTCGTCGATGAGATTTAGACCCACTATGCCGAGACGATCCCTCCTGGCTTGCCGCTCGCATGGGCGAATCAACCGAGCGTCTGTTTGGATCCTACGGTCCCAATCTTTGCCGCATTGCTGGTCGGAGTCGCTCGAACGCCATCACCCGGTTGGCTTCTATCTCAGGGTCTTTAACTACCTGAGCATGCGCTTCCGGCTGGACATGCTGAGCCTGCCGTGGTTCCTCCATGGCCTCGGCACGCTGCGACCCCAACCTCGAACGAGCCGAGCTCCTAGCCCAGGTAGCAGGATGAAGCTCCGGCTCGGTCGGCATGGTCGGGTAAATCGGAGGAGCGGAAGCTGGAGCCGTGTACGCAGGCATATATTGTGGATATCCAACCGGTGGTGGATAATACATCGACATTCCGGGCCAACACCCATACTGTGGAAGAGGGATCGGGTATGGGTACTGGCCGGGGAACGGATACTGTGGACCGGGCGGCGGGTATACCGGTTGAATGTAATTGACCGGGTTCTGTGCCGCCGGATGAGGTGGTGATAAGTTAAGGTTCAGATCAACGGTTTGACCTGATATTGCGTATGCTGATGGTCGGATGAACTTGCTGCATCCGCTTGGTCATCCTCGAGTGCTTGGTACATGAATGGATACATGGTGTTGATCGGGATCCGGACACGTCTACGATAGCTTTCTTGTTCGATCCCCACAGACGGCGCCAAAATGATAGTACTAATCCCACGTGTTAAGCGGTCAAGGTACTTAATACGATCAAGTCAAAGCAAATAAAGTCTTTTATTGATCAAGAAGGACCTAATACAATCTAAGTGATTATCTCGAGGGCCGACTAACTGCGGTCGGGCAGCTCTGTAGATAATCTATCGATTGTTCCAAAAGTCCCCTACACTATAGCCGCCGCGGGTACTTATAGCCGCTAGGCCGGAGACACAGCTCCGGCCGGCCGGCATGTAACCCACGTAGCAATGTAGCATCCACGTGTCACCATCCCGCGAGCCCTCTCTGTCAACGTGTAACAATGCCACGTGCCTCTTCTCGAGATCCTTAACAAGGGTAGCTAGTCGGTGGCGAAGGCAATCGGTCGAGAAGTCCACTGGTCGGGTCCGACCGTCTTCTATAAGAATATCCGACCTGTCAAACCTGCACAAAGAACAAGAGAAACCGAGGCATGTCGGTCGGGATATATCCTACCAATACCAAAAAAAAAAAAAAAAAAAAAAAAAAAAAAAAAAAAAAACCATTTGCAAATAAAATCAAAGTAAGGAGTTGAAATGAAATTTTTAAAGTATGTATTTTAATGTTTAATTTAATCAAATTTAAATTATTAGATATCTATCTAATAAGATTTTAACAGGACTAGAAAATGCATAAATTTAATTATTTACATTATTAATTTGTACATTATGTTTACTCTTTTTTTCTTTTTTTTTTTCGTTTTTTTTTTCCTTAAGTTGTCATTGCCATTAAGGAGGAGTTTAATTCACAATTTCACGTAACATGAGATTACATCATTATACGTAGTACGAGATTATGATAATCTACATCTATAATCTACAATTATCTCTACAATTATAATAAGAGCCAATAATGTTAGGCCCTTAACTGGAATAAAAAAAATATCGGTACTACTTGTTTCTTAAAATGAATGGTTCATAGTATTTTGATTTCAATATTTTTAATGATTTTTCTTATTTACCCTTTATTATATTATTTTCTTTCCTTAAATAACCTTAAATTCCGTTAGTATAAACTTTATTAACGGAATATTCCGTTAACTATTTATTATTCTTAACTTACTCATTAATTTCTATAAGAAAGGTCTTAGGTTCGAACCTCATTCCAATTAGAGTTAGCATAATTGTTAAACATATACTACGAATATGTTAAAATGTATTAAAAAATAAAATATAAAATTTAACATAAACTTTGGCCAAATAATTAGCCCGACTAAATACATAGCATTCAATGATTATAAATCATGAACTTTGATAATCATTTGATTTTCTTTCATTAAAAAATAATAAATTTAAGTTCAGTTTTTTTTTTTCGTTTAATTAATCTTCTTTTGATTATTGAGAACAAAACTTAATATTTCAATTATGCTTTTATCAATGCATAAAAACTTCTAAAGAAATTTATAAGTTAATTTTTACTATATTATTATAACAATATCTATTGTAACCTTATATTTTGAATTATTTATTATCATCATCAATTGACAGCAATTGTCTTTGACAAACTCTCAAAACAATTTGTGTCAACAACAAATGAAAATTAAAAAAAAAAAATCAATGATTTCATTATTGGGAATGAAAAGTATGTACGCCACTTTATTCGGTAGTATGCCGTGGAACTGTGTCCACCTTGCAATGTGGACACAGTTCTATGTTCATAATTACTGAACTATATGTTCATAATTATAAAGCTATATATTCATAATTTTTAACTTCATATTCATAATTATTGAACTCTATATTCACAATTACAGAACTCTATGTTCATAATTATTGAACTATATGTTCATAATTATAAAGCTATATATTCATAATTTTTTAACTTCATATTCACAATTATTGAATCTCTATATTCATAATTACAGAACTATATGTTCATAATTATGTTCACAACTTTATGTTCATAATTTTTGAACTATATATTCATAATTATGAACAATTTTGGAACCGTGTCCACCTTGCAAGGTGGACACGGTTCCACATCATAATTTTCCCACTTTATTGCTCTTATTACTTAAATTAAAAAATAAATTGGTAGCTACAACAAAAAAAAATATATATATATATGCATTTAATTAATTTAGAATTAGATGTCTCACAACACATGAAACATGTAGGGAAAATTACCACTACCAAATATCAACATGTGCTTGTAAGATAAAGAGTTCATAGCACAACTAAGATCTCAGTCATATACACAACAAAGACAAATCTAAAACTTCATACACCATAATCTCATTGCATGATGAATCCCTCTATGATACTACCAATAAACCAATTGCACATGACACACTACCAATAACAAAAAAAAAAAAAAAAAAAAAAACAAAAAACAAAAAACAAAACAAAACAAAACAAAACAAAAAAAAACAAAACAAAAAAAAAAACAAAAAAGAAAAAGAAGAAGAAGACATGTACTAAAAATGAAAACAATAACAATGCTACCTAAAAGAGAATTAGAAACATTTAAACCAAAAATAGTATTTATTTAGACTATCGCTTTTAGACTTAGTACTTAGATTAACGTTATTACAAAGTTGCAAACATTTATTTTTGTGACAGTTATATATAATCAATCTATCATATATTATCTTGCATTTATATACTTTAAATTACCGATTTAAATAAACAAATTCAACATTTATTTACCTATGCATGAACATCTTCTATATAATATTACATTGATATACTTTGAAATACTTATTTAAAAGTAAGTATTGGGCATTATCCTATTCGCGCAAAGCGCGTAGAAAAACTAGTATTGTTATAAATATTAGTATTTGTGCTTGTGCGGTGCACGGAATGGATTTGTTGTAATATATTAAAGGGGTGTATTCAATCATGACTTCATAAAGCTTTAAAGACTTTTATGAACTTTAAAAGTTTGGAGGTATTCAATTCAAACTTTTTAGAGAGTCTTTAAAAGTTAGGCGGTATTCAATCAAGATTTTTAAAGAGTCTTTCAAAATCGTATGGTATTCGATTAAGACTTTTAAAGAGTCTTTAAAACTCATGTGGTATTCAAAAAGTTATGAACTTTTGTAGACTTTTTAATTTCAAAATTTTTGTAGACTTTTCTTTCTCAAATATAAATAGTTGAAATCCAACCATCAATCCCAAGATTTCAAAATTTTCTTTCTAACAACTTTGAACGTTGTCTCTCTATTTAAACTCTATTTTTTCTCCCTACTTAAAGTTTATAAACATATCTAAATTCAATAAATTTTTTTCTTCATTATCCTATATTTTCCTCATATCTAAACTCTACTAATTTTTCTTTCTCTCCTAAACTTTACAATCTTCATCTAAAAATTCGAAATAATATTATTTTTACTTCATTATTGCTTGTTTATATTGATTTTTATTTTTTATATGAATTTTTTATCCCTAACTTTCTCTAATTCTCCCTAAATACATGAACAAAGCAAATTTTTCATCGTCAAATTTTAGTATATGTTCCATAATATTCATATAAATACTTATATATTTTGATTTTTATTCTTTTTATGTTTATATTCATAATATATATTTTTCATTTTTTTAACAACATGTTACTACGAATAGCGAACTACTGTTCGCAACAACAATTTGGGGTTGCAAACAGTAGCACCTTGTTGTTGTTCGCAATCTCAAATTGCTATTGCAAATAATAGTATTTTGTGTGATGCCAAGCAATATATCAAATATAATTTTTATATATATTATTAATATTAGATTTCTATTTTTTATTTTATGCAAGTAATTATATTTTTAAATATTTTATTTGATCAATTCTTTTATTATAAATTTTATTGTTTAATATTGTTATGAATTTCTAATGAAATGATTTTTTTTTGTTGATGTTTATTAATATATATATATATATATATATATATATATATATATATATATATATATATAAATAAAAGTAGTTAGCATTTTTTTATGATTAAGTAATTAGCATAGAAATCTCAGCATACTATGGATAAAAATAATAATGTTGAGAATATTGATGTGTGTGAAGAATTGTATAATAAGAAGACTTTTATGATATATTATAAATGTTTTGTAAGAAAATTATAAATGATAAGAATCAAAATCATTGAAAGTTTTTAAGGATGTATTCAATTTAGAATTTCAATGACTTTTGTTGACTTTTTAAAATAAAAAGTTGATAAAAATCTATAAATATTTTTTATATAAACTTTTATAGAGTCCTATAAAGTTTTAAAAAGTTTTGAATGACTCTATGAAAGTCAATAAAAGTTTATTAAAATCTATAATTTTAAAAGTCTTTAAAACTCTACAAAAGTCATGATTGAATACACCCCCTAAGAATATTTGAATTGATATATAATTATTTAGATTAGAATATCAAATATTATATAGTACAATGCAATTGAAAATATGATTTGGATCGTTTATATGTTTTGATGTTATCATTGTTTGAATTTGAGTAAATAATTGCTCAAATTAATAGCTAATGTGTAGATGTACGCATGCGGTGCTTAACTTTGAAGATTTTATTTATCATTGTTTAGTATTTTTATAAATTAGGCAAACGTACTCATTCTTTAGCAACTTAGTTATAGGAATGAATTGCTATCCTAATTAATTTGTATTGAAAATATATTTTTTGTCCAGATATATGGCACTTTTGTCATTTAAAAGAACATAATATCACCGATTGTATTTACACATTATTGAAACCTCATTGTATACGACATTGGTAGTAGCAACACAATCTTGTCAATCCTCCTCTATAGTTAACATCTTCAGTCCATTACGATGGGTGACTCGAGTGAAAATATATAATTGTAGAATATCAGTCAATTAGTGATCCTTTTATATTTTCAGTCAATTACTAATATCATATTCATTTTCAGCCAATTGTTATTTTTTATTTTATGTCAATTAGTCAATTAGAATATCAGATGTAGTGATATTTTTACCTAATTTCCGTTCTATTTTTAATTGATGATGTAGAATATTATTATTGAAATATTTCCATTCCATTTTTAATTTACCTTTACTAATGTTTAAAATATGCATTTAGTATTGATGATGTAGAATATTATTATTGAAATATTTTCGTCCAATTTTTAATTAAAATGCAATAATCTGACCAATTTTTTCACTTTAGTCAATTATGAATCATTTTTTATTTGTAGTCAATCCTTTTATATTTTCAGTCAATTAGTAATATCATATTCATTTCCAGTCAATTATTTTTTCTTTTTCAGTCAATGAGTCAATTAGAAATCAGATGCAGTGATATTTTTACATAATTTTCATTCCATTTTTAACTGATGATGTAGAATATTATTATTGAAATATTTTTGTT